TAATTTAATTTTATTCCCCTTGATGGTTCCAATTAGATTAAGACCTCTTCAGGGTAACACAGTATTCCAGTATATTTATTTCTAGTTCCTGGCATCCAATAATTTAATTTTATTCACCTTGATGGTTCCAATTAGATTAAGACCTCTTCAGGGAAACACAGTATTCCAGAATATTTATTTCTAGTTCCTGGCATCCAATAATTTAATTTTATTCCCCTTGATGGTTCCAATTAGATTTAGACCTCTTCAGGGAAACACAGTATTCCAGTATATTTATTTCTAGTTCCTGGCATCCAATAATTTTATTTTATTCCCCTTGATGGTTCCAATTAGATTAAGACCTCTTCAGGGAAACACAGTATTCCAGTATATTTATTTCTAGTTCCTGGCATCCAATAATTTTATTTTATTCCCCTTGATGGTTCCAATTAGATTAAGACCTCTTCAGGGAAACACAGTATTCCAGAATATTTATTTCTAGTTCCTGGCATCCAATAATTTAATTTTATTCCCCTTGATGGTTCCAATTAGATTTAGACCTCTTCAGGGAAACACAGTATTCCAGTATATTTATTTCTAGTTCCTGGCATCCAATAATTTTATTTTATTCCCCTTGATGGTTCCAATTAGATTAAGACCTCTTCAGGGAAACACAGTATTCCAGTATATTTATTTCTAGTTCCTGGCATCCAATAATTTTATTTTATTCCCCTTGATGGTTCCAATTAGATTTAGACCTCTTCAGGGAAACACAGTATTCCAGTATATTTATTTCTAGTTCCTGGCATCCAATAATTTAATTTTATTCCCCTTGATGGTTCCAATTAGATTAAGACCTCTTCAGGGTAACACAGTATTCCAGTATATTTATTTCTAGTTCCTGGCATCCAATAATTTAATTTTATTCCCCTTGATGGTTCCAATTAGATTAAGACCTCTTCAGGGAAACACAGTATTCCAGAATATTTATTTCTAGTTCCTGGCATCCAATAATTTAATTTTATTCCCCTTGATGGTTCCAATTAGATTAAGACCTCTTCAGGGTAACACAGTATTCCAGTATATTTATTTCTAGTTCCTGGCATCCAATAATTTAATTTTATTCCCCTTGATGGTTCCAATTAGATTAAGACCTCTTCAGGGAAACACAGTATTCCAGAATATTTATTTCTAGTTCCTGGCATCCAATAATTTAATTTTATTCCCCTTGATGGTTCCAATTAGATTAAGACCTCTTCAGGGAAACACAGTATTCCAGAATATTTATTTCTAGTTCCTGGCATCCAATAATTTAATTTTATTCCCCTTGATGGTTCCAATTAGATTTAGACCTCTTCAGGGAAACACAGTATTCCAGTATATTTATTTCTAGTTCCTGGCATCCAATAATTTTATTTTATTCCCCTTGATGGTTCCAATTAGATTAAGACCTCTTCAGGGAAACACAGTATTCCAGTATATTTATTTCTAGTTCCTGGCATCCAATAATTTTATTTTATTCCCCTTGATGGTTCCAATTAGATTAAGACCTCTTCAGGGAAACACAGTATTCCAGAATATTTATTTCTAGTTCCTGGCATCCAATAATTTAATTTTATTCCCCTTGATGGTTCCAATTAGATTAAGACCTCTTCAGGGTAACACAGTATTCCAGTATATTTATTTCTAGTTCCTGGCATCCAATAATTTAATTTTATTCCCCTTGATGGTTCCAATTAGATTAAGACCTCTTCAGGGAAACACAGTATTCCAGAATATTTATTTCTAGTTCCTGGCATCCAATAATTTAATTTTATTCCCCTTGATGGTTCCAATTAGATTAAGACCTCTTCAGGGTAACACAGTATTCCAGTATATTTATTTCTAGTTCCTGGCATCCAATAATTTAATTTTATTCACCTTGATGGTTCCAATTAGATTAAGACCTCTTCAGGGAAACACAGTATTCCAGAATATTTATTTCTAGTTCCTGGCATCCAATAATTTAATTTTATTCCCCTTGATGGTTCCAATTAGATTTAGACCTCTTCAGGGAAACACAGTATTCCAGTATATTTATTTCTAGTTCCTGGCATCCAATAATTTTATTTTATTCCCCTTGATGGTTCCAATTAGATTAAGACCTCTTCAGGGAAACACAGTATTCCAGTATATTTATTTCTAGTTCCTGGCATCCAATAATTTTATTTTATTCCCCTTGATGGTTCCAATTAGATTAAGACCTCTTCAGGGAAACACAGTATTCCAGAATATTTATTTCTAGTTCCTGGCATCCAATAATTTAATTTTATTCCCCTTGATGGTTCCAATTAGATTTAGACCTCTTCAGGGAAACACAGTATTCCAGTATATTTATTTCTAGTTCCTGGCATCCAATAATTTTATTTTATTCCCCTTGATGGTTCCAATTAGATTAAGACCTCTTCAGGGAAACACAGTATTCCAGTATATTTATTTCTAGTTCCTGGCATCCAATAATTTTATTTTATTCCCCTTGATGGTTCCAATTAGATTTAGACCTCTTCAGGGAAACACAGTATTCCAGTATATTTATTTCTAGTTCCTGGCATCCAATAATTTAATTTTATTCCCCTTGATGGTTCCAATTAGATTAAGACCTCTTCAGGGTAACACAGTATTCCAGTATATTTATTTCTAGTTCCTGGCATCCAATAATTTAATTTTATTCCCCTTGATGGTTCCAATTAGATTAAGACCTCTTCAGGGAAACACAGTATTCCAGAATATTTATTTCTAGTTCCTGGCATCCAATAATTTAATTTTATTCCCCTTGATGGTTCCAATTAGATTAAGACCTCTTCAGGGTAACACAGTATTCCAGTATATTTATTTCTAGTTCCTGGCATCCAATAATTTAATTTTATTCCCCTTGATGGTTCCAATTAGATTAAGACCTCTTCAGGGAAACACAGTATTCCAGAATATTTATTTCTAGTTCCTGGCATCCAATAATTTAATTTTATTCCCCTTGATGGTTCCAATTAGATTAAGACCTCTTCAGGGAAACACAGTATTCCAGAATATTTATTTCTAGTTCCTGGCATCCAATAATTTAATTTTATTCCCCTTGATGGTTCCAATTAGATTTAGACCTCTTCAGGGAAACACAGTATTCCAGTATATTTATTTCTAGTTCCTGGCATCCAATAATTTTATTTTATTCCCCTTGATGGTTCCAATTAGATTAAGACCTCTTCAGGGAAACACAGTATTCCAGTATATTTATTTCTAGTTCCTGGCATCCAATAATTTTATTTTATTCCCCTTGATGGTTCCAATTAGATTAAGACCTCTTCAGGGAAACACAGTATTCCAGAATATTTATTTCTAGTTCCTGGCATCCAATAATTTAATTTTATTCCCCTTGATGGTTCCAATTAGATTTAGACCTCTTCAGGGAAACACAGTATTCCAGTATATTTATTTCTAGTTCCTGGCATCCAATAATTTTATTTTATTCTCCTTGATGGTTCCAATTAGATTAAGACCTCTTCAGGGAAACACAGTATTCCAGAATATTTATTTCTAGTTCCTGGCATCTAATAATTTAATTTTATTCCCCTTGATGGTTCCAATTAGATTTAGACCTCTTCAGGGAAACACAGTATTCCAGTATATTTATTTCTAGTTCCTGGCATCCAATAATTTAATTTTATTCCCCTTGATGGTTCCAATTAGATTAAGACCTCTTCAGGGAAACACAGTATTCCAGTATATTTATTTCTAGTTCCTGGCATCCAATAATTTTATTTTATTCCCCTTGATGGTTCCAATTAGATTAAGACCTCTTCAGGGAAACACAGTATTCCAGTATATTTATTTCTAGTTCCTGGCATCCAATAATTTTATTTTATTCTCCTTGATGGTTCCAATTAGATTAAGACCTCTTCAGGGAAACACAGTATTCCAGAATATTTATTTCTAGTTCCTGGCATCTAATAATTTAATTTTATTCCCCTTGATGGTTCCAATTAGATTTAGACCTCTTCAGGGAAACACAGTATTCCAGTATATTTATTTCTAGTTCCTGGCATCCAATAATTTAATTTTATTCCCCTTGATGGTTCCAATTAGATTAAGACCTCTTCAGGGAAACACAGTATTCCAGTATATTTATTTCTAGTTCCTGGCATCCAATAATTTTATTTTATTCCCCTTGATGGTTCCAATTAGATTAAGACCTCTTCAGGGAAACACAGTATTCCAGTATATTTATTTCTAGTTCCTGGCATCCAATAATTTTATTTTAATTTTTTCGGACAGATGTCGCCCAATCAATTGGAACCATCAAGGGGAATAAAATAAAATTATTGGATGCCAGGAACTAGAAATAAATATACTGGAATACTGTGTTTCCCTGAAGAGGTCTTAATCTAATTGGAACCATCAAGGGGAATAAAATAAAATTATTGGATGCCAGGAACTAGAAATAAATATACTGGAATACTGTGTTTCCCTGAAGAGGTCTAAATCTAATTGGAACCATCAGATTGGGCGACATCTGTCCGACAGCGACATCTGTCCGACTCAGAAAATAGGTTATTTGGACAATAGTTTATGTCGGATCCTACCGTACGATTTTCTTAAAACTTTCCACAAAGTATGTTGGTTATAGGACGAATAATCTGTGTAAGTTTGAGCGAGTTTCTATGTGCCAAGTTTAAGATATTACCTTAAACACAAAAAATATATGCAATTCGGTTGTTTCAGTGGTTCCAAAGCATATATCTGGAGATCCAACGATACAATTTTCTTGAAACTTTCTAGATAGTAAGATAGCTTAAAGACAAATAACTTGTGCAAGTTTGGATAAATTTCTATGTGCCAAATTTGAGATATCACTTCAAATACACGAAAATAGTGCTGTCGGACAGATGTCGCTGTCGGACAGATGTCGTGTTACCAAACTGGGATTTATTGTTATTTAATTTTGGATCTATTAAAATTATTATATTAACTGAATTACATTGTATAGACTGCATAGCAAAAGTTTGGAGCTTTGTCTGCTGAAAGTCAGTTTTTAAACGATTGAATGAATGAGTTACTGACTGATATCATAAGCTACAGTAGGGAACGTAGTGGTGAGTCTTTGTCAAGTTATGCAATTAAAATATTGTAACAAGTTAAGTTAGGAAGATTGTTTGTGATTGATATCATCGATTTTAATTTTAAAGGGTCTAAATTTCAGGAACTTGGACTCGACAGAATGATGACGTGGTGACCATTATATCTGATATAACAAACGTGAAAAGTTACATGTTTTTTTACGTAAAGGTATGAACCAAAAGTGTTGCTTTTATTGGTGTTTCTTAAAACAAGATTTTAGTGGGGCCAAACTATTTCCTAATACTTTAACTATCACGATAGATTTTGATTGAAGCTAATGGGACAAATCTAACCACAGAGTAAACCTTTAGCCGATGTAGTAGAGACGAAATCCATACCTCAGAGGTTGCCAGCTAAACCAGTTAATCATTAAAATTGTTATTGTTAAAAGTGCAACGACCTGAGCCTTTGCGCCGTGACATGGTCGGTAAGTCGGTAACACGACTCGTGTCCGACAGCGAGATCTGTCCGACTCAAGGTACCAGAAAAAAAACGACATCTGTCCGAAATTATCATCTGATTTCAACACATTTCCACACATTTCCATTTAGAGACATGATCTGAACTCATGAACTGTTACTCACTAATTTGTATACGTAACATTTCCAATTTGAGATATGATCTACCCAATGCTCCGCGTCCGCCATATAATATATGATCTGCTTTCTTAGCAGTCCCTTAAAGGAAAGATCGTCGAGTATTTTCGTCCCATCCAGAGTCCCAGAGCATCACTGGTTCATTGTCAGTAGAGAGCATATAGTTTGCAGGAATGGAGAGTGTTTCCAGATTAGAAGGGTTGGAAGGGTGTCTGTTTGCTGCTTTTCTGCAGCTCTGTACCATTCTGTTGAGGGGTGATAGCTGGAAACCAAGCTTTGCTCTAGATTCATAACCCAATCCACCAACTGATTCAGATACGAGGTATTTCGTCGGTTGATCTCCACCAGAAGCTTTTCTTTTCAAGTTCTGTTTGCTGACGTGGACGGTCATTTCAGCATGGTGGGCAGTAGTACTGTAGTAGGAGTGATCAGTTGTTTGTCCACGGTAGAGATGCGGGCTCTGCAACCCTTTCGGAAATCCGAATATTTCTAGTGGGTGGATTACACAGTTACACAGGATTACACAGGATTACACAGGATTACACAGGATTACACAGGATTACACAGGATTACACAGGATTAAAATTAAATTATAGATCCATTATCATGGACCGTCATAATTGTGGGTGGTGTCGTCTCTTCGTTTGTCGAAGACGTATCGGAAGCCATTCAGGACAGGGTTCTCCGAGCCTTGTTTGGGTCCAGGGATAAACTGAAGATTAGTTGCAATTGTGGATTGCGATAACTAATCTCCATACCGCTGTCTTATATGTACTGTGATGTGATCGCCAGCTTGTTAGTTTACGGCTAGCACGATCTGACGTTCCTGTTCTCAACTAGTCAATCATGTATCGAATCATCGATGGATCATATCTCAATGGATCACATCAGCATTAGAACAATGGGAGCAAAGTCACAAGATTTGAAGATTACCCGTGAGCTTCTGAAATACGAATGTGAACCGAAATTACAATATGATCCGAAATTCGGACAGATGTCGCCAAAAACGACTCCTGTCCGACAGCGATATCTGTCCGAAATCCCTAATTCGGCTGTCGGACAGATGTCGTTGTCGGACAGATGTCGCCCAATCGACATGGACACGGTTGGACACCACCTATGCCATTATTTGGTTGATCAACTTAATAGATTTACATGGTTTTGACTTACATTCCAAAACTTATTTAATTTAACTGTTACCTGCCCAGGAACAATATTTCATCACAAATGAACAAATTGCTCCAAGAAACATACAGTTCGAGCTAGGATGATTTTCTCCCTGTAAGTATATCTTGTCAAATGTCAAAGAATCGATGTAACATAGCTATAGTATGAATGTTGTAACGTACGCTTCATAACTTATCGCAGCAATGTGTACTATCCTACATTCGTTTTCATTTGGTATAAACATTCATTGAAATAACTATTGTTTTTCAGCCAAAGAGTAGTCCGAAGATTGAGAGCATTCCTGCTATCAAGAAACCTGTTATCAAGAAACCTGATATCAAAAAACCTGCTATCAAGACATGCAGCACTGTCAAATCGGTTAGTACAAGTGGAAAAACTGTTCGTGAACACGTGTCGGCCATCGGGCTACTTGGATATTGCCGGGCTTATGTGTGATCTCGAGTTACATATGTCGTCACTCGTCATGCTCAAATCCATCTAAATAACTTGTTTCCAGGCTTGATAATCAGCTGTTACCCGGGTGAAACTTCAGTTTATCTTCTATGCAACGTTTATAATTGATCTCACAAATGCTTGATGTTTGAATTACATTTTATCGTACATTTTGATCTTAACGTTCAAAATGTACGATACAAATTAAAAACTTTACCAAGCCGAGTTTTACCGAGGTTTTGCAAACATGTCGACAGTAAGAATCCATCTACTGTTCATGATCCTACCCTGAATCAGGTTGAGACTGAGTTATCTGCCTCGGGGCTGCCCCTACAATATCCACCAAGGGGTGATTCAACTGTAGAGCGTATGCTAAAACATGCGATGGAAAACAAACGCATTCCACTGAGTGGAATCCACTCGTGTGTAAGACGGAATGTCAGTCAAGTCCCTGTCAAAACTTATTCCCTCCAAGAAAATCTGCACCCACTGTAACCAGGGCAGGTGGTTACAGAAGGAGGCAGTGACGACTGTTGACATACATGTTAAGTTCTGTTTCACCTGTCAGACTCCATATCGATACACATACACAGATGTCTCGGAAGGGGTGTTCACTGTTCAATAACAACAACCATACAATTGTAGACTATCAGCTTCTGGAAACCATCTTCACCACCTTTGGACACCCCATATCCAAGACACTAGTCGATACTTTCCGAATGGAGTCTGACAGCCCCCACCTTACCACCAACACCCTAAGGGATGCCTTCCTCCTCTTTAATCTACCTTACAAGACATATTTATAACGTACGAAATGTGGCGGTTTTCCGAAAATTTCGCCATATTTTCGGACCGCCAAAATTTCGGTCGTCATAATAGAATCCGTCGCATTATCTTTTATTTTAGCTTATTTCAATGACTGTGCCTTCACTGCTTTATTTTGTTTCTAAAAAGTAATATCAAGTAAAATAAATAAATTCTGGCATCTTGGGACAAATTATCACCACACCAATGACGAATTGAATGTCAAGCAATACAGTTTAAATTTGCATTAAAATACATGTATGTGCTAACATGAAAGTCTTACAGTCTTAATACAGACTAAGTTTGAACATGATTTTACCGATTTCAGAAATTTCCTTACTGCTTACTGTCACAAAAAATGATGAAAAATACCCTTATTTTCTGTGACGTCCGAAATTTGACGGTTTTTGTTCAATTTCGCCATATTTTCGGACCGCCAAAATTTCGGTCGTCGCAAATTAGGCCGCCATAAATATGTCTTGTAAGGTATATGGGCATGAAGGAGACACCTCTAGACTTTCTGTCCTGTAGAGAGTGTGGGAGACATTCCCCTGTCATCCTCTTTGATGTGAAAGCAATAGATAAAGGCTCTGACGGCAAACCTGATGTCTACCCCATACAATTTGATGACTTGTGGAACATCACCAAGCAGAAACCCGGATCTAACGTCATATACGGGATGATTGACATGCTTAAATTAAACAAGAAGGGGACACTGAGACAACGGGTGGAGAGAATAATAGAACTCGACTGACTTACTGACTTGACTGACCTAAGGCCCCACAGCCAGAAACCATAGCAGATAATCTGCAAGGAAATTTTCGATTTCGGAGGAAATTTTTGGTGCCAAAGAGGAAATTTATAAAGTCTACGATCTGAATTTTTTACCATGAATTTTCTGGGGTAAAGAGGAGATTTTCTAAAAACAATCCAAAATTGTTGACAAATGAAAGAGGAAAAAACTAACAGTTCTTTGAATCGTTCTTGAAACTGTGTTTGAAAATGATCTCTATTGCCAAATTGCTTCTAGGCCTTCTGTGTGGGAAAAATCATCAAGAATTTTTGCCTGCGGCGAACATATCTTCAATTCCTGTCTGTGCGAAAGTTTAAGTTGTATGCACTCTATATTTCTCAGGACATGGTTGCCTCTACTCTGCAAGGCACATTACACATATAATAATAATTTGTGATAACTACGACAGATGGTGCAAGCTGGCCATGTTTTACTTGTGGGTTGTAGGAGAAAGCCGTTTTGTAATACACTATTTTGAAGGACTTCAGATATTTTGTTATTGTAGATTTTAATGTGGCCAAGCAAAAACGCAAAAAAATGTTCTGGGGCCTAGCTCCGAATGCTTAAGACTGTCTTGCTTCACTCGCCGACATTGCAAAAAAGGAAAATTTGCGAGCGAAGCGAGCGGGCCACAGAAAACAGAAAATGTGTATCTGCGAGGAAATTTTTAACTTTCTGGATGTGGGCTTAAGGCGGCTTCAGCGTCCGAGTATTGATGCGCTGTCTCTGGATAGAACTCTATCCGCCATAAGTCTGCTCATTTCTCCAGTGTCGTTGAGACCCGTGTCAGCTCGTGGGCTATCAACATAAGTCATGGCTGGTCTCCCCCTACTCCGTACCCCATGAGTTGGTTCCTAGAGTAGCAAGCGGTTTGCGACTAGTTCTGGGTGCCGGTGGATATGGCCTGCTAGTCGCATCCTGCGCTCTTGGATCTTCATGGTTGCTCTCGGTAGGTTGCCATAGACTTCTTTGTTGGTTTTGCGCTGCTTCCAATCCACATTTAGTGCCATCCTTATCATTCTAGTGTTGCAGCCATCAATGCGTTTCTTCAATTGCTCTGTCAACGTCCACGTTTCAGAACCATAAAGAAGTATTGACTCCACAGTAGCAACAAACAATGCCAGTCTGGTGAAGATGGTTTCCAGAAGCTGACAGTCTACAATTGTATGGTTGTTGTTATTGAACAGTGAACACCCTTCCGAGACATCTGTGTAATGTGTATCGATATGGAGTCTGACAGGTGAAACAGAACTTAACATGTATGTCAACAGTCGTCACTGCCTCCTTCTGTAACCAACTGCCCTGGTTACAGTGGGTGCAGATTTTCTTCGATGGAATACGTTTTAACAGGGATTTGACTGACATTCCGTCTTACACACGAGTGGATTACACTCAGTGGAATGCGTTTGTTTTCCATCGCATGTTTTAGCATAGTTGAATCACCCCTTGGTGGATATTGTAGGGGCAGCCCCGAGGCAGATAACTCAGTCTCAACCTGATTCATGGTAAGATCATGAACACAACACAGATCACTATTCGTTCACTAAAAAGTTTGTACAGATTGCTGGGAAGAGTGGTGGACTTCTCACAGTTATGTGTCCACATGAATATGTGTAGGGTTTAAGGTCCTCTACCTGCATGAAGGGGCATCGGATTACGTTCAGTTCCTTAGATCATGGCAGCATATTCCGTCAATATCTGTTGTGGACTTTGCTCCCCAAGTGGCCCGCTATGCCGAGAAGCAGTTCCCTGGTATGCTGCCACCATACGGAGGAAAGCTGGCAGACTCTTCAAAACCGGAGATCCCGCAATTCATCAAATCCGGCGGCCTCATAAGCTTCGATGAGCTGTGGCACCACAAAGCTTAAACTGTGAAATCCAACCCTAGAGACCATCCTGTAACCAAGTTAAGCCACAAGTTACCTGGGGACCTCAGGCTATTATATTTATGTCCATAATCATAGATAGAGATTCGGTGGAATGACAGTGCTGGCTGAGCGTCGCCCAGTAAGCCATAAGTACATCTTATTTGACAGATATCATGAGGTGACTTTTAAAAATCCATTAGATATATTTCATCTGTTGGATATTTGCGCACAGCTGCTACGGAATAGAATAAACACATCAATTTGTGAGCAAAATCACAAGGAATGAGCTTAATAGGTACAGATATTCATTATATAACATGTCGGGGATGAAATTCCTGCTGTTACATTCATATATCTTATGAGAAACAGGTCTACTATAGAAAAGAAAAAGAAGTTTGAGAAAAACCTGGGGTATGAGCTAGATGTGTTTGAGGAGACCGTTCAGTGGGTGGAATAGGGAGTGAAGCCTGTTACCATTTCTCCACTCTTTAGGAAAATAGAGCCAGCATCGAAGATTAATAATCGCCTGCCAGTTAGTTCCTGTAGCAACTAAATCATCTAGTGAGTGCGTGAGGATGGTGACCGGATTTTTTGAAGAGAAGAACATCCAACAGCAAGGAATGTGAAATATATCAGTGTCTTGCCGTGCCAACAGCAGTCTCAGCAGACGGATAACTTCTCATGTGGACCTCTATGCTTTCTCTCCTAGCTCCAACTACAACCGAAATACTGTAATATAAGACCATCACCCTCTTCATCAGCCTCTGGAAAGCCACTTGAAGTACCTACAGGTGTATCTATACTAGTATACTCATTCCACTAGCATGTAACATGTGCACGTAATCATTATAATGAGCTTTCTTCACTTCTTCACTTATCACTCAACCCAGCTCTCTCTTCCAGTGCTCTGGATTTGGAGGACTTAATTAATGATACACTCAATTAATATACTTGTTAATTGATCTTTGATGTAATTTCTATTCGGTCTATTATTTTAATTTTGTTCGTGCATGGAGCGAGTCATATGTGTATTAAATTTCGTAATGAAGACTGCTTTCAATTCCTAATTGAATTTGTTTTAGTTCTTAGTACAATATTTTAAGAGATCTAGAGAAAAGGAAGTTTTGATATTATGGTTTCGTACACGCTGCTTTGCCTTTAAAGCTTTAATAACTTAACTTCCTGGGTTGATTTTATACAGGTGGGCTGTGTAGAATAATTTTAAATTTGCTTTTAAGTTGTAAAACTTTTACTTAGCAGTGTGAGAACAACTGCAAAAGAGCAAACTGATATAAGTGCCACAATAACTCTATCCTAAATTAACAGCCTTCCCAGCAATGCACGATAAATTAATATAAAAATAGTGTATAGTACGAATAGAACACACTACACCGTATTATGTACTATATTAATGCTAATGGTACACAGGCACATTCAATCATTTAGTAACCTGAAATGTTTAGCCAGTGAATTATTTTAATGTTATATTTTACACACTGTTCCGCATGATGAGTGGTATATTAAAGCTTCGTTACCGGGACTACTGTATTTCGTTTACTTGTTAATCCGACCGACTGGTTTAAACTTTTTAAAAAGTGTGTTATCTTCAAATTAATTCTGAGACCCACTCAATTAAATCAATACGATGCTGTATTCCATGTTTACATTGTTCCTAATTACATTGTTATCTTCATCCATGATCACTAATAAGCTTAATGACATTGTTTGTAATTTAGTACTTCTTTTTCACTTGTTTACAAAAGAAATATGACTCTGAATTTTTCAGCTCCAGTACCTTGGTCGAGTGAAATCGTTTCTGCTCAGATGTCCGCTGGAGTGCTTCGTCCGCTGGAGTACTTCGTGATGTAATTGTTCTAAGGATGAACAAAGGTAGTACAAAGTTTTAGATTGTAAATCTTTAGAATCATACTGTCTAGCGCCTAATCGTTCAAAATCTGGCGAGTAACTGAGATAATTAAAACCTGATTGAGATTTGAAAAGTCTCAATTATACCATTGTAGAGTCACGAATTGTATTTTTTAAATTTCAGCATAATGATGAGAGAGGGCTATCAATGTCTGGGATTTCTGCTGCTTTGTTACAGTCATCTGACTTTTTACTCGGTGACTTTCCGAGGAAAGAGTTCTGCTAAAAAAGATAAAGAAGATATGCACGCGAGACATGTTTACTCTGAGATTATGCTGATACCGGATGCGTCACAAGCACATACTATTCAAACTGCAAATCGGAGAACTTTTTTCTAATCCTGAACTTGATTTAAAATCCTTACTTAAAATCAGTTCTCGTCCAATACTTTACAGAGATTGCATCTAAGAGAGTAACAGGACGCTCGCAATATCTTGTATATATATATATATATATTTCGTTGCTGTACTCCTACACATTAAAAGTCGGTGTTGATAATATATACAAGATATTATATAATATATATTGTTAGTCAGCCACAACTGTCAGTAAAACAACGCCTTGACTTCAAATGTCGGTAAAATGTACCTTTACAGTCATCCTCAATAAATGTAATAGATTTGTAGTGTTGTAATTAGTTTAAAACTATATATATATATACTTTCTTGTGTTTTAAGTCATATCTTAAGTTTGGCACATATAAATACTCCAATACTCTCACACATTATCCGCCATATAACGATGTAACTATCTGGAAAGTTTAAAGAAAATCTATCAGTCAGACCGTGAGAAAATCATTAGAAATATATTCTAAGTTATTCACAAAAACACTGTATTTTCGAACTTTTTAACTTTTCATTTTGAACAGATTTGTCGTTCTGGTACCAAAATGCTTTACCATAATAAACGTACGGCGCGAGAACATTTCCTTGTCCAAAGTCTGACAGTTAACAACATGCGTAGGATTCCCTCAAGAGGTGAAATCGTAATCGCCACCCGCCTACAGCTGACCTACGAATTTCTGAACAATTGAAAATTGTGGCTGTGTGCGCGGCGTACTGTATATGTGTTTGAAATTGAAATTTGAATTTATTTATGAATATAACATTATGTATTGATTGTTTTGTGGTAAATAAAAAATTTTTCTTTCCTAAAAAAAAAAAATTTTTCTTTCCTAGCACTGCACCTACTATCAAGTTGTGAGCTTGTGGACACAAATCTACAATTTCAAGCGGAACGAATCATCACCCTGTGCAACAGCGGTAGGCCCATAGTCGATCTAGCAACTGAGCAGGGCTCCATCATATTGAACTGTTCAAGTGAAACAAATTTTAGTGAAACAAATTTAAAATTTTATCCTTTATTTTACAATCATAATATAATAATATTTATAAGCCTCCGTTTTGAAAGTTTTAAATTATAATATATTCACATTTCTATTTAAAATTCAATTTAATGTATAAGTCAATAACTGGCCGCCAAAGCCGCGCATTCTTAAAAACATGATTAAATTGTTTATGATTATACGACAAATAGAAATAAATTTAAAATTATCCGTGGTTTTTTAAAAAAACAAATTATAATCTTACCTAAATCCAAAGCCAGCTTTGTATAATTTACTTTTAGATCAAAATATATCGTCAATTCTAAATATTTACAATGCAACATTTCATTAATTTACATACAAGCGTACTCCAGCCCCTGCACGCATCCGTTCTTATGCGGCGCGGCTCAGGCCGCGCACGCACGTATTATTTTATACTTTTTGCTTTCTAATAAATATTGTGTCAATGTGTACGTCTAAATGTTCATGCTTTGTGTAAACCGAATCCAATTGAGATTAGTGACAAGGATAAGGACCCAAGTGCCTGTACGGCTTTTTCGGACCCCTGTGGACCACTACTCTTGAAGTCGCTCTACAACTATTGAACATTTATAACTGTTATATAATATATAACGACATTTGACAATTATTATCATTAATCTATAATCTAGCTGTCTTGCTGAGGGGGAGGAGTAAACGCTTCACAAACTAAAGTGCTTACAACATACAAAATTTAAAACCATCAAAACGGTTATAGTTCATATGGGGGGGGGGGGGGGGGGGGGGGGGGGGGGGTACCAATGGCATAAATGGCATAATGGAGAATTGGCCAAGCAAAATTTCCATTTATGCCATGAAATTTCTATGCCATTTGACGATTTTTATGCCATTTGTCTCCATTTTATGCCATTCGAAATATGAAATTTTAAAACTTTGAACTGAGAATTTAATAACGAATAGTCTGCACCCCACTAGTACTGTCCACCTTTATCTCTATTTGTTGTACTGACCCTGGTCATTAGAAACACCCCTAAAAGTTCGTTTTTTGACAAAAATTTAAAACTTCTGTAATTTCATTTCTGTTTTAGTTACGCATTTGATTTTTGGTATGCGTATAGAAAATCGATACGGCTTTAAAATGAGATGTTCGGCGACCTCCAAGCTCACTCACTAGACTCAGTAGGAGTGATTTAACTGCGAGGGACAATTGAGGCTAACAAATTAGCCTCACCACTTTCAAAAAAGAACTTTCTCATGTTACGTCCATGATATCCAAGTTGCAAGTATAATCCATAGTGATTATACTTGATCGAGATCTAAGCTTTGGGGGTCGTTGACGTTCAGCTAAGGATCCTGAGTGGTCTATGCAGCCCCCCGGTCTACTCAGCCGAATACTCGAGAAATCGGGTGTGAGGGTTAAATGAGGAGCTGCACATTGCAGCAAAGTCTCGGGCGAAGAAAGTATGGTACACACTACCTTAACCGTCACTGGCTAAAAAAAACAAATCCTTCGGCTTCCTGTAATTGGCTGGTTGCACTTGTGTAACAATGTGGCTGTTGGAATACTCCGAAGTAAAATAAGTGTCTTGATAAAAAATAAAAAAAAGGTGAAAATGAGGCTAACCACCTTTTGAGAGGGTGAAATGAGGCTAACAAGTATACTTTTGTTTATATTTTCGAGTTGGTTCGGTATTGTGACTATCTAATATGTCAACAATAAAGATTGATTCATCCTCTTCAAACTCAACATTTCAGAAATCGCTGAGTCTACTTGTAGGAGGCCAAAATGAGGCTAATAAATAATTCGACCGCATTTTAACTTTAATGTACGGAAACAGGTTAACAGCTCACACGTTACTTGATATCCATGTTGCACATGCAATTCCTTGGGATTATATTTAATCGGTATTTAAGCTTCAAATATTCGAGGTGAAAATGAGGCTAATCACCTTTTGAGAGGGTGAAATGAGGCTAAAAAGTATACTTTTGTATATATTTTCGAGTTGGTTCGGTATTGTGACTATCTAACACGTCAACAATAAAGATTGCGATTCATCCTCTTCAAACTCAACATTTCAGAAATCGCCGAGTCTACTTGTAGGAGACCAAAATGAGGCTAATAAAAAATTCGACCGCATTTTAACTTTAATGTACGGAAACAGGTTAACAACTCACAAGTTACTTGATATCTATGTTGCACATGAAATTCCGTCGGATTATAGCTTCAAATTTTTGAGGTGAAAATGAGGCTAACCACCTTGTGAGAGGGTGAAATGAGGCTAACAAGTATACTTTTGTGTATATTTTCGAGCATGTTCGGTATTGTGACTATCTAATGTGTCAACACCGCATTTTAAGTTTTAACTTTAATGTACGGAAAAATGTTATAGACCCACTATAAAACTTGTAATTGTAGCCCGAAGGTTATTGAGACTTTATCGAAACTTATGTGAGGTTGGATTGAGGCTACCTTCCCTCCTTGAGGCAAAATTGAGGCTAACAGATACACTACGCAGACAATTGTCACTGTGCCAGCTGTCAAGTAGTTGCTGAGCAGCAGCAGCAGTTAGATGAAGAAAATGAAGTTGAGGAAGGAAATGTATTAGAGCTGTTGGCTAGAGTAGGCCCCTTACTTCTATGGAGCTCTCTGGCCAACTGCTCTGGCAATGCTCTCCATGGGGATTGGGCCATGTAATATCACATGATCTGATATCATGCCAAATTAGACTCTAAACTATAAAGTATAATAAAAATGGAACAGTTTGAGAAAAAACATTTTTCGTTACTTGGAAAGAGAATACTTACTCAGCTGTCAGCATAACGAATCAGACGTACCTTGATCTTATATGTACTTGTGACGGTCTTGTTTTGTATTTAACTCTGCTGAAGAAGCAATTCCCTAATGCTGAAATCGTCACTTATTACCTTGGAAGTGATCAGAATGAGCAACTGTTTGCATTTATTCGGGTTTCTTTTTCATCTGGTCGCTCAAGAAATATGGATGCGATAACTATGGCCCATGGAATGGAGAGAAAGAATGTGTACAGTGCTTTATCATTACATGAAGACACATCTGCAATTGCACATGCCGGGGAAGTACAGTTTTGCATCCTACAGTTCACCTCAAAAAGGTTAAATCTACAGGCCAGAAAGCAGAACGAGTGAATTGTGAAATGGACTGGTGGTATGATAAGCCTAGGCAAGTTGGCAAAAACGCTGGACAGGGCATCGAGGGACTGCATTCGAGAAGGGAAAAGAAACAATTTCCCTGTGTTCGCCGCAGTCGCAGATCCTGAAGAACGGAGTGGGAAGCCAATCGTCCATGGCCAAGAACTTTCTTGGGAAGCTGTAGATGATGAAGCTGGATGCCTCGAGTATGAGGACGACTTAGCTTATGAGGTAGAACCTGGAGTTGATGATTGTGATGATGGAGAAACAATATCAACAGATAAATATGGAACACTATCCTTCCGGTCTTTTGAGACACTCACGCTCAATGGAGGAAGAAGCACTTTATCAACAAAATCTCGTCTTTCAAGATTCAAGGGGGACGCGTTTGGAGTGTCTTCTGATGTTCGCATATATACAATCAACCTGAATGCGGATGTTCAACAGTTTTGAAAGCTGGCAGTACAGAAACTCTTAAAGTCTTCAAATCTCAGCAGAACTTTGCAACAGGAGTGGTTAGATTTATTTCTTATAATCATGCCCGATGAAGTAATACTGCCAGGAACATAGCCTAATCAATGGATCTCCTAATGTATGGCTACTCGTCGAAGACAAATACATCAGATGCATTGTTCCTTGATGACATTCAAAATCGTTGTGTTGTCAATGTTTGTATTCTTGAATAGTGAAATGTTTGGTATATATTTGATATAATACATTTCTATTTTCTTTATTTAGTTATTTGTCATATGAATCTTTGACGTTAACGATCATTCCAAGCGTTATAAAGCATGAAACATGTCTCTTATTCAAGTACTAATAGTATTTGCGAATCTAAAGTCATCCTAAAGGTCAAATATGAAGACCTAAATTAATGGCATAAATTGGCATAAATGGAGAATTGGCCAAGCTAAATTTCCATTTATGCCATGAAATTTCTATGCCATTTGACGATTTTTATGCCATTTGTCTCCATTTTATGCCATTGGTACCCCCCCGTTCATATCAAGGGCCAATTTGGTATACCTCTATTTCGTTGTAATATCTAGTATATTTTACATCTTAATACTATAATGAAATACAATAGGATACATGTTTCGAGAAAGAAAGGTTGGTCCGATTATTAACAAAAGTAAACA